TTTTGCTTCAGAAGAGAAAAGGTTTGGTCTGTGATAATTTTATTTTAAAAAAATCAAGTTTTTTTTTTACTGAAATTAACGTCTCACAGCTTTTCTTAAGTTCGTTAATTGTATTTTTATATATATTTTTCAGCATACTTGCGAAGGCAGTGAACGGTGCGTTTTTGGCAGCTTTTGCTTCAGAAGAGAAAAGGTTTGGTCTGTGATAATGGTGTTACTAGTGTAGTTGCTGCCTGTGCGCTGCTCTCAGTCGTCGTCTTCTTCTCTCTCGGTTTCCATTTCCTCTGCGGATTGGATTGCAGGAAATTAAAATGAAGTGGTACTTTATAGCTTCGCTCCTCACCGTCCTCACCAGTTCTCAGGTCAGTCTATTTTAATCCCAACCCCCCCCCCCCCCCAAAAAAAAAAAAAAAAAAAAAAACCTAAATTCAGTTTCTTCATTTCGCTTTTTCCACTTCTGAAATTACCATCCTCCATCAAACCCTAACCTAAATATAACTTTAATTTTCCAACACTTCCAATCTGATTTATGCAAATTCGAATATAATAGCTTCATTTTATAAAATGAAGAAATCTGTGGTTAATTGTAGAAATGGAGTGGATCTGGATTTAGTGAAATTTTAAGTTGGAGGAAGAAGATGAAGATCTGCTGCAGATTTCATGTTGATGGTCTGATTACTTTGTGTTTTTTGGCAGGGAATCTTAACCACATTATCACAGAGTAATGGGAGATATAATTATGACTATGCCACGGTTCCTTTCCTTGCTGAGGTTTTTAAGGTACTTGGTAGTTAATTGGAGATTTATACATTAAATGCTGTATGTATGTTAGAATTCCAATTGACATAGCTAGTAGCTTTGGATAATCTTGCATTGTATTGCCTATTGATTTGCAGCTTATGGTATCGAGTTTTCTTCTATGGAGAGAGTGTCGGAGATCACCTCTACCTAAGATGACTACGGATTGGAAGACTGTTTGCTTGTTCCCTATTCCTTCTATTATATATTTAGTCCACAATAATGTCCAGTTTGCTACCCTGATGTATGTGGATACATCTACCTATCAGATAATGGGAAACTTGAAAATTGTCACGACCGGGATATTATTCAGGTACTCTTCTCAGTTTGCCTTGAGATTATTATGGGTCTCTACTCCATTGGTTTGTTTTGACAAATGAGCAGATGTTGCTATCTTGTGCTTTAGGTTGTTTCTTAAGAGAAAGCTTTCTAATCTGCAGTGGATGGCAATTATTCTGTTGGCTGTTGGTACAACTACAAGCCAGGTATTGCAAATATGATTTTAAGATAGATGTTGCATATTAAAATCTTTGCTTGGTTGGATGGCACTGCTACAATAAATTATAGATGCTTGAGTATGTGCTCACTATTTGGTGTGCTTGGAAATTTATTCAAATGTTGGCACCAGTGCAATCTGTATTAACTGTTTGGAATAATCTAGAAGATCAAGTGTTAGAAGGCAGATATGAACATTATACTACTGTACCAAAAGAAAAATAGAAAGGAAAAGAGAGTGAGAGAGGTAGAACAATTGTAATGATGTTACATGGTTTAGAACAGGTTATAGATTGACTGCCTCTGGACAACCCTGTATGGTCATCTTGTGTGAAACTTGAGGGGTTAAATAGATTAATCTTGGAGTGATCTACCTCTTAGAAAACTTGTAGATTCTTATTTTCCTTGAGAGCAAACATTTGTTTTGGACAAAAAAAATTGCTTCACGATTAGAATGATCCTTCTGTCTTATTTTTGTATAGGTCAAAGGTTGTGGTGAGGCTTCGTGTGAGTCCCTTTTCTCAGCACCAATTCAAGGATACATGTTTGGCATTTTGTCTGCTTGTCTTTCTGCATTGGCTGGTGTTTATACAGAGTTCTTGATGAAGAAGAACAATGACAGCTTATACTGGCAGAATGTACAATTGTACACGTATGTATCATTTCTTTGAAAAAACATGTCTGACTACTATCATTTAAGGGAACTGTTAGAAGGAAATGTAAAGCTGGAGAGCAACTAGGTTGTTTTATTCAGAAGGAGATATTATTCTTTCAGGTTTGGTGCAATCTTCAACATGGGACGGCTTCTGTTGGATGATTTTAGAGGTGAATTCGAGAATGGACCATGGTGGCAGCGCCTTTTTAATGGATACACTATTACTACCTGGATGGTGGTCTTAAATCTTGGGTCCACTGGGCTTTTGGTTTCTTGGTTAATGAAATATGCTGACAATATAGTGAAGGTATATTCTTAGCATTTGTACATCTGTGACTGTTTGTGGACATGCAATCACTTGTAGCTGTTTTTATTTTCCAAAATCCTACATGCTTTTTCATGTTTGGAGTTGTCTCTTTGATAGGTTTTATTTTGGGTATCATCTAAACTACTACGTGCCTTTTCTCTTATCTAGGTGTATTCAACATCCATGGCCATGCTATTGACAATGATTCTGTCTGTGTTCCTCTTTAATTTCAGGCCAACACTGCAGGTAAGGTTCCTTGCCTATAAAGTTGGTCAATGGGGTATTTCCAGCAGTTATATTTATTTACCGTTATACCATTGGCTGAAAGGTTTTTTTTATCTAACCAAAACACATAAGAATAGGGGCCAGAGTTTATGATAGATTTGGAAGGTGGCCTTCTTTGGACACCACACGGACACAACTGGGATATGTTCTTTCCTGAAAATTTTGAATTTATGTTTAAAGTTTCTGGAGCTAGTGTGTTTTAGCTATTTTATCTGAATTTGATCATTGAAGAATTCAATATATTAAAGCTCCATTCAGCAATTATGCGTCCCATTGTGTCTGTCACTTGTTTAATACTGAATCATATATTTCCTCTTTTTTCTTTTTTTTGGCATCTTGCAGCTTTTCTTGGGAATTATTGTTTGCACGATGTCACTACACATGTACTTTGCTCCTCCAAATCTGCTTCTAGATTTGCCTTCAACTAGAAAACGAGATCCAGAAAGCCTCGTCAATGTTCCTGATGATCATAGAACAGATTCATGATGCCTAGACCTTACTTGAGGCATGTAATTATTTTATAGCTCTCCACGGAAATTGAGTATCATTTCTTGTAATACATTCATCTTACCAAGTCAAATGTGTCAAATAGGCAAAGGCAAAGTGTAGAACAGGTACAGACATGAGATGAGAAGGATAACTAACAAGCTCAAGTGCCCACCTTTGGTAACATGGATCTACTGCTCCTCCGTCAGGAAAAAAACCCGATCCCTTCTATTGGATCGATGTGGTGGATATTCTTCCTCGCTATATGCCCTTCTTTGTGGTAAATTCCATGTTGTTAGTATATGCTGTTGCTTATACTAATAACAAGATACTTGGGCTGCTTGTTTACTTTAATAATATGTAGTAATGTTACTGTTCTCTCTGTTAAGTTGCAATCTGTGATTCACCATATTCATTAGAAACACAGAGCACTAGTTCTTTCTGTTAAGTTGTAATGTACGATTCACCATAACCATAATTCGTGGAAGAAGGGACAGGTAAATTTGTGGATGGAATGGACGAATAGAGATTTGTGGAGACAATCCATAAGTTGGAATCTAGATTCACATTAACCATAACCATAAGAAACAACTCTATTATAAAATGTAGATTTTGCAACTTTTTATACAACCAACAAACATGACCTAAATGAACTTCACCAAGCGGCCCGATGGCCGCGTGCCTCGTTGAGGCAGGTGAACTGTTCATCAGATCTGGAGATCGAATCCCCAGTTGTTAATATCTAATAATATTAACTTACTAACCATTGGTCTTATTAAAAAAAAAAAAAACAAACATGACCTAAATATTCCATCACAAAAAGAGTACATGAACCAAATAATAACAATCCAATAGGCCCAACAGAAAACTAAGATTTAATAATCTCAGACGAGGTCCAGATATAACCTACACTAAGTTCTCAAATTCACAGAACCCTCTACTAGTTTACACTTTCTTGATTAAAAACTATAATGTAATAAGGGTGTTTATGTCGGCAGTATGCTTGATGTATTTTCTTTTTCTATCACAAATTTATTTAGAACATATATTTTAAATAAAAGTTTAATAATTGATATAAATAATAATTAAAAATTTTAATTAAATAAAAATATTTAATAAAATACATAAATAAAAAAAATTTAATTATTATTTATACCAATTATTAAATTTTTATTTAAAATATATATTTTAAAAATAAAAAAATTCAAAATAAATCTAATAAAAATGAAGGGAGGAAGTATCATGTTTTGGTTAAATGTGTTTGTGAGACTAAAAATATGCAGATTCAAATAGATTTAATGAGTTAACTAACAGAAAGACTAAAAAAGTGCAGTTATCATAGTTAAGAGATAAAAATTATGTAAAATGTAAAACTTTTAAGGTTGAGGGACCAAAATTAAACTTTTAACTTTATGTTTTAACAAACCGGCCCATTTAAATCCAACCGAAAGGCCCACTTAAAAGCTATTATATTATGACAACCAACCCAAAACCGTGGCCCAAAAGAGAACGGACGTTAACTCACTCCAAGCGCAGGTTAGCATTAATCACTGAGCAAAACAAAACCGGCGCAAAAAAAAAAAAAAAAAAAAGCTACTGTTCCTCAGTCCCCAGTGGCAGGCGGCAGTGCTCTCTGTATAAAAGGCGTTTTAACGCCCCAAAACGGAGGGATATCATCAATTTCCTACATTTCAAAAAGGCGGTTCCGCGCCAGAGACATCTTCTCCTCCAGATCGGAACCCTAGCTTCTGAGGAAGGGGAAAATAAAGCTTTAAGGAAAAGAGAAAATGCCGAGAGAAATCATTACGCTTCAGGTGGGACAATGCGGGAACCAGATCGGGATGGAGTTCTGGAAGCAGCTCTGCCTCGAGCACGGCATCAGCAAAGAAGGCATTCTCGAGGACTTTGCTACTCAGGTTCCGTGTTCTCTTTTCCTCAATTTCTTCCCGCATTTGGCTGTTTGGTTGCTCAGAAACTTGTTGAATTTGTTTCGTGGTGATATGAAATCAATTAACCTATCAGATCTTCTTTTGTTCAAATATGGAATTGTCACAATGTTGTTGAATTTTCTGATTAATATTTTGAGAGTGTTCTACTGTTAACTAGTATTCAAGTCAAACTGAAGTCAGCATTTAGAAGAATTCATTACATTTTGATGTAAATGTAATCAACTCCCATAGTTGATGTTGTTTGAAATAAAGATGAGTAGTGAACCTTAAGATTTAGCCACTTATTGGAGTTTAGGAAGGCAATAAGTTTTTGCTAATAATGCAAATGACTTTTGGAGGTTTTGCATCTTTGCCTGTCATTGTGATGCTATATAATTTGTTCCATTTGGATACTGCAGGGAGGAGACAGGAAAGATGTCTTTTTCTATCAAGCCGACGACCAGCATTACATACCTCGAGCTTTACTAATAGATTTGGAGCCTAGAGTAATCAATGGCATTCAAAATGGTGAATATAGAAACCTTTATAATCATGAAAACATCTTTGTTTCTGATCATGGTGGAGGTGCTGGAAATAATTGGGCCAGTGGATATCATCAGGTCTGTCATTTGCTTTTGTTAAGCATTCAGATTCCTTATTTTTTAAGATATAGGCTCAAGGTTGCTATCCCAAACCCTGTCATGATGTATGCATGGTTATATATTTAATCTAGTGCAGTGGGATGTTTAAGACAGTTCTGTTTTATTTAATAACATTGGACAGGGAAAGGGCGTTGAAGAAGACATAATGGACATGATTGATAGAGAAGCTGATGGAAGTGATAGTCTTGAGGGTTTTGTTCTATGTCATTCAATTGCTGGGGGGACTGGCTCAGGTTTGCTTTGCTTCTCTTTTATTATTATTATTTTTTGACCATTTATTCCTTCAAGGATTTAAAATTTTGAATTATTTTCAGCTTCTTTTTTCATTGTCTAATATCATGTGGTTGTGTTTCTGTGACGTGCAAACCCACGTTGATGGGGAATTTGGCCAACTTTACATATCATTAGGTTTCAATTGAGGTCCAAAATTAATTTGCAACTAGGATAGCAAACTTAAGTTATTTTTGGTGGACTTGGGCTAGTCTAAGATTTTGTTCACATGCTTTTAAGTGCTTCTTGTTGCATAATGAAGGTATGGGTTCCTATCTGTTGGAGGCTCTGAATGATCGCTACAGTAAGAAGCTGGTTCAGACATATAGTGTATTCCCTAACCAGATGGAGACTAGTGATGTGGTGGTCCAGCCCTACAACTCGCTTTTGACACTCAAGAGACTAACACTAAATGCTGATTGTGTTGTTGTTCTTGACAATACTGCTCTGAATAGAATTGCTGTGGAGCGTCTACATCTAACTAATCCTACTTTTGCTCAAACCAATTCTTTGGTCTCTACTGTGATGTCTGCTAGCACAACCACACTACGGTATCCTGGATATATGAACAATGACTTGGTTGGTCTCCTTGCCTCTCTAATTCCAACACCAAGATGTCATTTTCTTATGACTGGGTACACGCCACTCACGGTGGAGCGCCAGGTAATTCTCCAATAGGCATGCTTTTTGTTGGGAATTTTCTAGATTTGTTGTTTGTTGTTACTTCTGATTATTTAAAGGTCACTAAAGGCAAAAGTTATAAGTAACTTTAATACTTTATTTTTGTCACGATCGTTTGTGTGTTTTGTATCAGTTCTATTTACATTATTCCAGCTATGTCAAAGGAGAAATTTTGCTGTGGTCTGATGCAAATTATCTCTTTTTGGCAGGCTAATGTGATTCGCAAAACTACAGTATTGGATGTTATGAGAAGGCTTCTCCAGGTTAGATTTTCCATTGTGGTTGTTTAAACAACATAGTCTGGCATTCTACTGACTTGTCATCCCCCTTGCAGACAAAGAATATTATGGTTTCCTCTTATGCTCGTACAAAAGAAGCCAGTCAAGCAAAATATATTTCAATATTGAATATCATTCAAGGAGAAGTAGATCCCACTCAGGTACTATAAATATATTAGTGTTCACAAAGTAACAGGACTTTGTTGACTTCTTTGTGTTTGTCCACTTTTAAAGGTTACATAATGGTCTGGTTGCTTTATTTTCTTAAAAGCTACATCTGCCTTATAAATCTACTTACTTTCTATCAGGTGCATGAAAGTTTGCAGAGGATTCGTGAAAGAAAACTTGTGAATTTTATTGAGTGGGGCCCTGCAAGTATTCAGGTCTTCATCAATAGTAATGCAGTAGTTATCACTTTAGTCAATTCTTATTCTCCAAATATCTACACTTGCAAAACTTTATCTCTTTCATCATCTTTTATTCTGGTGTTCTGTAGGTTGCACTTTCTAGAAAGTCTCCATATGTCCAAACTGCTCACAGGGTATGCTCTTACTTCATTGTGGAAGCTTCAATTTGCTGCTTCAATATGCTTTATTATGTTGAAAAAGTTTGTCTAGAATATATAACTCTTGATTGACAATGATTTAAAATGGGAAAGAATGAAGTTGTGTGTGTTTCATTTGCCAGGTAAGTGGTCTCATGCTAGCAAGTCATACTAGTATTCGCCACCTCTTCAGCAAATGTTTGAGCCAGTATGAGAAGTTGAGAAAGAAGCAAGCCTTTTTGGACAATTATCGGAAGTTCCCTATGTTTGCTGTGAGTTGTCCCACTTGTTTCACTTTTCATTCTGTTTCAGCTTCTCATTTTGACGTGTGGATACTGCAAGTTTGATTAATAGAAACTTGTTTAATAGCATGACACACATTCCTAGGCATGTGTAGGCACATGTAGGTAAATAATCACACAGGAAAATTTGAGTAACATCTACATTGCCTTGACATCAGTCTTGCTAAGTAGAAGACATACACATGATTGAATTGCCTGAGATTCACATTGAAATATCATATTACATATTTTTTGGCCAAATATTACATTTTTCATAAGCAATACTCATCCAAATGGTGCATGCTTCACTTTTTGCCACACCTAGACTGATAGCCACACTCCATTACTTGACACTTAGTCCTAATTTAATGTTAACTGCAAACAGGACAATGATCTTTCAGAGTTTGATGAATCAAGGGACATTATTGAAAGCTTAGTTGATGAATACAAGGCTTGTGAGTCACCAGATTACATCAAATGGGGAATGGAGGTACATGCCCTGCTGGCCCTGACTTATCACATCTTCAATACCTGTTGGATGTCACTGAATGCCATTTTATTTGCAGGATCCTGACCAAATTCTAACTGGAGAAGGAAATTCTGCTGGAACATTGGATCCAAAGTTGGCAATGTGAACACACCATGTAAGCAACAATCATGCTTGCCCAGTTGCCTCCAAAATAGCCAGGCTTTATGGTTTTATTTATAGAGAAAACCATATTGGCAGTTTTTCACTCTGAGGTGAACTTCTGCCAAAGGTGCATTGAAATGCTTCAGGTTGATATTGAGTTGTTTTTGTTGTTCTTACGTCGGATATGTAGTTAGCTGGAAGTAAAGTCCCACTTTTTTCTTATAAACTTTTTCATTTTTATCATCTTTTTGATGTAGCCCAAACAAAGAACCTCATGCGTCCATGTTTTCTGGACATGTCTCAACTGTCTGCATGTTGTTTTTCCTTAAGCCACATAGGTCACTTGCTTGGAATTGCTTATTTCAGGATGTAACATTGATGCATGCTATGAGCTCACCTGCGAGAGTATTGTAAGTAATCTACACAAATTATATGTTGGTTTGATTGTGTTTTGTTGAACACTAAATTTCTTGTAATTCTATAACTTTTTTATCTGTTTTAACTCTTGGATTCGTTCATACATATGGGAGAATACAGAATCTCACTGTATCCATAGGTTTCCAAGACTAGTTAGTGATGTTCCTTCAACATTTAAATTATTAGATGGGAAATATGGGTCTGATGTTGTCATCCATGTGAATATGATAACACGGCATGTGTTGTCCTTGGCAGAGCATGTTTTATGGTCCCATGCCTGATTGTTGACTCCCATCAATGATTTGTGGTGTTTGTTTAATATGCAGGTTCTGTAATATAGAACCTCCATTGCTATAATTGATTGTTAACTCCTTTCTGTTTCTCCAATGTGAACTGCAACAAACAAGGACTGGGGCTTTCATTTACTGTTTCTCAAATATGGATGTAAAATCATGTGTTTTGGCGGTCTGTTTTAATGCTAAGTCATGTCATGCATGTGGATCACTATTCAACATTTTTTACCCTGTTGTTTGTGCCTCCTGTCTTGATTATCTTCCACACGTTAGCGTCATTTTTTAACCCACCCTTTTTTTGTTTTTTTTATTTTAATTTACCAGCTAGCTTTTACTCCAGTCCAGTTCTGTCCATTTTTCTTCTACGGAAAGCATTCGGCACCAATCTGTTTAACTGCTTCCATTCCACTCGTAAAAAAATTCAATTTGAAATTTGAAATTTAAATTTTGTCCTGATTTGATAGCCACTTGTCAAGTGGCGACAAAGTTGACGATGATTTCATTAGACAACGGCCAAGAAGACAAAACAAAAACAGAAACCAAAGCCGTTTTTCTACAAATGCTTCTTGTGAAACTTTGTACTACATTCTTTAGAATTTAAACATGGAATTAAATTAAAGTTTGACCCCCAAATGCACTGCACACGAAATCACTAGGGTAAAGTGGGTGTAATCTACATAAAAGTCGATATATACTACAAAGACCGAAAAGGAATTAAATTGCCATTTAAATTTGATCCAGAGTCTTAAGGCTAAAATTCCAAACACAAATATGCCAAAAACTCCTTTGGCTTTGACAAAGATGATAATTTTGCACACGGAGTAATGAAATGAGGCATTTCAATCTGTTAATATGGAAAAGTCTGCAAGAAGAATGGGTTGGTAAGGAGAAAGAGAACAAATGGGTGGGCAGCAACCAAAGCTGACAAACTGTCCCAACCAAGAATATGGAAAGGCAATCACATGGCTTGCCCTCACAATATATGTCCTAGTTAGGTTTAATTTGACGACACATATATGTAGCACTAATGGTGGGTTTTTCAGTTTTTTAATATTTTTAAAATATATTTATATATTTATTTTAATTAATATTTTATATATTTTAAAATAATAAAA